TAGAACACGAGCACCATGCAGTGTCTCTGACGGTAGGAGGGTACTTCCGGGTGTCCAGTGGTTTTCTACTGCCCGCCTCAATCCAGGCATTCCCTGGTCAAATTGGTGTAAACGCGCCAAAAACCACGTGCGTCTGTCAATGGTCGCAGGTGGCTTACTACGGTCGCAAAACATATGTGAATCGTCCCAGTACCTCAAACGCTGTGTGTGATGACTGTCAAGCAGATCCCAATCTGTCTCTGCAATTACATTCCCGAGCTGTATCTGCTTCCCACTGCCTTGTGGGTAAGGATATTGTGCAAAAGTTTCCGGGCGGAATCCATCAAGCAAGCGTCCAAACCACCCACTGCCTTGTGGTTCATGCTACTGAGCCACAGGCTCCGGGTGGAGACCCTCAGGCATACATCGGAGGCACAACCGCCATTTCGGCTGCCATAGCCCACCAATGCAACCTTATTCCTGCGCGCAAAGCACTCAGCATCTGGTACTGGGACGTGCGCAAACTGCTGGACGGAAACACGGGTGAGTGCCCCGATCGACGCACTGCACTGGTTGCGCTGGAACTGCCGGGCTACCGCATCGCATTGAACGAGAATAAAGAGTTTTATTATATATATATATATATATATATATATATATATATATATATATATATATATATATATATATATATATATATTGCGGCGCTCAGTAATACCCGGCTTGCGGACTAAGGTAAGTTGTATGAAGCAGGTGCTGGCTACACATTCTACTGGGTATTCAACGCCGCCTCAGCACCGCGTAAACATGGGGTCGGATTTGCAATATTCGATCGCCTCCATGGCCGGCTCGTGGGTGAACCAACAGGCATCAGCGCGCGACTGATGACTGTTCACCTACGACTCGGAACAGGTAAGTTTGCCACTTTTATAAGTACGTACGCTCCGACCATGTGTTATTCTGATGACACGCGTGATCAATTCTACACTCGGCCATCCTATGTGATACGGTCTGTACTGAGTTGCAGCTGACAATTTATGCTAGGAGACTTTAGCTCGCGCGTTGGACGTGATGCATCGGTGTGAACAGATGTTAACGGTCCGCATGACATTGGTTCAGCGAACGCGAAAGGTGACAGGCTGCTCTCACTGTGTGTCACTCACCGCCTGACGATCACCAACACTCGGTTTGCACTGAGTGCGAGTGCTATAGTAACTCGGACGCACCCATGGATGGGTCACGTTTACCTGCTCGACTATGTCATCGTACGTCAGCGAGACATGCGTGAAGTGAGCATGACACGTGCATTTCGTGGAGCTGAGTGTGGCACTGATCACAAATTAGTGCGGATCAAACTGTCTATATATTTTCGTAGATTTCTATGTTGTACTCCCGCCGTGAATGGGCGTAAATTTATCATTCACTCCCTCGGTACTGTGGAGAAACGTATTGAGCTGGAGAAGGCGATGGCTGCACGCCTGTGTGATGTGGACTGTATAGCCACAGTGGGCGACCTGTGGCATCACATCCGCGACCAGGTGACAGCTGCTGCCGAGGAAACCATCAGGCACGCAAATTATTAACGACCTGATTGGTTTGATAGGAACAATGCGACGATTGGCGCATTGGTGTAGGAGAATAATACAGCATTTTCTGCATATGTGACAGACCCCAGTGATTTGGAGAAGACTAGTCACTTTCGCAAACTACGTCGGCGACTGACCCGAGGGTTCCGTCACATTATAAATGTATGATGGACGGAGAACGCGAAGCAGATGGAATGCTACGCCGAAGGTCGCCAACACAGAGAATTCTTCGACTCCTTGAAGGCGGTGTATGGACCGAGGTTGGAGCCGCTGAGGACGCTGATCGATGGTAACTCTGGCGTTACCTGCACACAGACTGCAGACATTATGCAGTTCTGGCGAAAACAGTTTGACTGTTTCTTGAGCAGCAGTTCATGATAAACTGGCCTACGTTGAACTCTCTTAAGCAGTGCGATATGATGGCGAGTCTGACAGACACGCCGACACTGGTTGAGACGCCGATAGGACTTGCTCAGCTGCGAAATGGCAAGTGTGCCGGTGCCGACGTGAACCCGCCTGAAGTATTGAAACATGACGGACCAGCGTTGGTGACTGCGCTGCACCACTTGGTGCAACGCGTATGGCTTGACGAGGAGGTGCTTTCTGAGCTGAAAGATGCACTTGTACTACCACTGTACAAGAGCAAAGGGAGCAAACAATGTTGCACGAATTATCGTGGCATCAACTTGGTGAGCTGTGTGGGCAAGGTAATTGTCCGAATCCTGCTCAACCGCCTCTTCAGTCAGGTTGTGGAACCTAATGTGGCGGAAGAGCAGTGTGGATTCCGTTCGGGTCGCAGCACTGTAGATATGGTGTTTCCTGCTCGTCAGTTGCAAGAGAGGTGCACAGAACGACATTAGCCGTTGTACTCGCTTTTTGTTGATTTCACCAAGGCATTTGACACGATAAACCGCGAGGCATAGTGGCTGGTGTTAGGTAAGTTTGGTTACCCGCATAAGTTTGTAAGTTTAAATGAATGTCTGTAAAGTGGTATACGAGCGAGGGTGCGGCTGAGTGGAGAGACCTCGGATGAATTTACAGTTGGCTGTGGTGTGAGGTATTGCTGTGTCTTAGCTCATGCTCTTTTTAATATATATCCTCATGCACCGATGTCTTGTGTTTTTGTTACCACTTGTGCTTAGGGGTTCGTGTGGAGCACCCATTGATGGTGGGTTGCTGAACATCCGTCGTTTCGGTGCGAGAACTCTAGTCTGTGAGACAACTATTCGTATGTTGCTGTTTGCTGACGACTGTGCGTTGTTTGCACACAGCGCGGATGTGTTGCAGCACATGACTAGTGCTCTGGCTTCGACAGCGGCCAAATTCGGGCTGACCATCAACACAAGCAAAACTGTCTGTTTCGTTCAGCCTTCACCGGAGTTGCTATCTTCAATATTGCTGCGAATCAGCATTGGTGCTGAAGTATTGGAAACTACCTCCCGCTTTTGCTGCCTTTGGAGTGTGAAGTCGACTGATCTGCAGCTACCCAGTTACATGTTTTATGTAAAAATATGAAACTCTTTTTAGAAAGCCCTGAACCGAGGAATATGAATGAGCTCCGTTCGTTTCTAGGATTGCTACCTCATTATTACTATTTCTTACCTGATGCATCCACTGTGTTATCTTCCCTGGATGAGTTACTTTATACCAACGTACAGTTGTGCTGGGATCCTCTGCGAAGCATAAACTTAAGCAAAGCCAAACGAAGCGTCGCCTCCTCACCAATGTTAGTTCATTATGATCCAGCGAATCCTGTAGTTCTCCAATTGACGCATCTCCTTGGTATGTGCGTGCACTCCTGAGCCACCAAGCTCGGTAAAACGATCAACAGGCGAGCAACCAAGCCGGGCCACCAGTGTTCCAAATTATTTCGAAGAGGTAATGGTCTTCAGATGAGGTGAAGAATGATGCGACTTTTGCGTAAAATGACTTGGTCCACTCTAACGTGCCACAAGAAACATACTGGCAACCTGCCACCGTAATTCGTCCTTCGGGAAACAAAATCGTCGTCCTACTTCCAGGCCGTCGGCTTATTTCTCGGCATTCAGACCGCGTTTGTCCACAGTCTTCAGACACACTAATCGAGACGCAGACCGGATTGTGCGCAAACAAGGAACCTGGCGCTGAACGAGAATCGTTCGCGCAGGCTAGTGAAACGTTGCTGACGCGATCAACCCGCATTCATAAACCAGTGTGATGACATTTCTGGAGGTGAGGGATGTCACGTGTGCACTGAAGGTCAGGTCCCAACCCACTCATTTGGATGAACAACGCACAAACTCAAGTACTCAAGCAAGCACGCACGCTTGCACGAACACACCAAGCTTATCGTGTCGCATCTGAATGCATACCGCGATGTTCTGTCGGTGGTTAATTGCAGTGTCCTGTCCAAACTTGTTCTTGATACCGTTAGCTCTGCACCCTATAGAGCATTCCTTCTTATACACTACTTACCGTGACTAATACGTATCACGGTCTTAACTTTGTTCGTTTCCTATGGTTCGAACAACTGCTGTAATGCTGAACCAGTATAAAAGAACACGTTCACTAAAGCTGTCAATCATGATTCGATTCAAAGCCAACACTTCTGACTGCAAATACTGCGATCCGCTTGAGATGCCGAAATGGATTGACCATGGAATATGTGAAGCGAAATTAACTTTAACCCGCCCTGAATTGTATCCAGTTGATTGATAACCACATGACCATTTTGTTTATACGGGTACGAGCTGTCAGGCAGCGGTTGACAGTTAATATTCGTCTGCCAGTAGCCCAAGCAGATACTAAGTCAATGGCTCATAGGAGTGTTCTCTGCCTTTTGTCTGATCAGTTTATCAAATTTAAACGAATGACGTTGTTTTTAAGTCAAATACCAACAAAACAGAGAATTGTCTTTTACCTGAACCAATTATCCCCAGGCAAATTATAGTGTATAGTGCGCGGTCTAAACGTTGATCGACACACCAAGCGAACTGCTGGCCTTTATTACGAAAAGTGGAACTTTCGAGTGTCCACTGTAAACATCAGGCAGATCGGTTGACTAGGAATATGTCAGCATCTTCTACTGTTCCGGGAAGTTCACACGTATGGTGAAATTGGGCACGTTCCACCGTTTGCGCTGTTTGAGGTCATACGAAAAGTTAACCTCAAATGATGAATACGGTCACATAATTAACCCTGATAATATATACCGTCTCCCTCAGATGCACTTAATGGAGAGTACGACCTTCAAGTCGTCACCGAATCGGTACTCTTAATGGCTTATAGTCGAATAATACGTAACTATGTCCCGCACATCTGCTATTTTCTCTGTAAGTCTGGTGACCTCAGCGCTCATAGAATTGATTGGTCAGTAGTGTGTAAGTGGGTGAGTTCACTCGCGTCAGTCTGTCACTCAGCCGCATTCGTCTGCCTTACACTAAGCAGCTGCCTTGTATGACAACAGAAGTCGTCACTCGGAGTGCCCCCAGCATGAAGCAACCCTCTTTTCTCTGGATTCTGAGAATTTTATTGTTAACGGCTCCAGTTCCAACTGGTAAGTGTGCCTATGGCGAAAGCAAATAGCTCGCATGCTGCATCGTTGGTTTTAAAGGTGTAAGTATTTAGTTTGTAGCAGTGACAACCGCAGAACACAACGATTTATGAGGTGTTGTCGCACTCCAGTTCACTAAACTCTGTTTTAATCACAGAACACTGTGAATAGAAAGAACAGCTTACTAAGCTGACAGCAACTGACGGTCTGTTGATTCATCTACCGACAACTAACTAGCATTTCTCATTTGCGGCAGCATTCTATCGTTTGTTGGAAACTTGTAATGCATTTAAATTCAACAGCTAGTTTCGCCGGAGGACAATTAGTTTTTTCTGTAATAATTAGCTTTGCATCCTCTGCAGCTCAGACAGACAACCAATCGGTTGATCATGGTCTTCGGAGGTGCACCTGAAGCCACCAGCCCCACCAAGATGGAGAACCAGACTGTTCCCTTTGGAATGCACCATTCAACCGTTACCGTACTGTTAGCTTTCGTTGGCCAACGCTAATATAGTACAGTACAGCGGCCATTTAAATTAAATGCGTTCTATTCACGACCAGGTACTTGAGTAAAGAAGGCAAGTGACTTCATTCTGGCCAGCAGATTATTACTCCAAGGTGGTGCTGGATATTGAATAATAGTATACTTTCAGTGTGGACCATAAGAGGTTCAAAACTGGTTATCATCTTCTAACTATCATCCGTGAAACTTCAATTGGTTTAGATGAAAATTAATGTAAAGCCACTGATATAGATAGCGGTGGATATGTTATGAATTAGGGACTAATAAATAATAGGCATTCCACCGGCGTTGTTCTAAGCATGAAAATTGGAAACAAACATTTCCTCGCAGAAACTATAACTTACGTTCGTTTGCAGAACCGGTAGTAGAGGTTGTAGCGAGACTGATTGTAATCGTTGAAACAATGGGGAAGTGATCCAATACGGGTAAAAAAATGCCAAAACTTAACGAGTCACTCAGAAACCCATGTGTGGGATGTAAAGTTAAAAAAAGAAAAATAATTGACAACAGGGCAACACGCGCATCTGTGAGTTCATCATAGTTGGCGGCATCCGATTTCGGATTTGTCTGTCACGGCAGTCTCCAAGGGGACAGCCACAGGAAGCCGGTGCCTACAGAGGGACGATGGGTGTCGCGTTCTGCACCACCCGCTGCTCCATCCACACACGCATTTGTAGTGTATACACGTTTACTTAACGGAACCGGCCCACTAGCTTACAACATACACAGCAGCAGCATTCCTGTCTAGCTAGTAGTTGCTAAGCATAGGGACTATTCAAGTGGTACTAAGCTCTACAACCAGCGCTTCCAACGTATGTCTATCAGTAAAATTAAATCTGACTGGTACCGGATAAGCATATGTCATTTTTGGACATCTAATGGCATTAAGCATGTGAAGTATCATACTGGATGCTTCATAAAAAGTGGCTACCGTATCTTGGAAATCAGCAGAGTGAGGGACATTGAAAAAAGGACACTGTGAACCCCTGACGGTTCGTTGGGTTGTGTGGAGTGCTTAGTAATTTTGGCTGATGATTTTTCTTGAGTCCGCAATGCGGAAAGAACCTTAGACCTCATGGGCTTGGTTGTAATTTTGTGGGGAGTATAAAGTTTCTGAACATCTGCCGATTCACGTTTATGGAAGTATGTTCAGTGGAACCCATAATCAGACAAGATGACGTGCCGGACTCCGGATTAGGGCGCCAGTTAATACCCTGTTTGTAAGCTGCGTGTCAATTTTATGGGGTCTTTGTTGTCGTGGAAAGATAGCTGGTTGGAGAGCCAGGTAGTGGGCATGTCCAGATCAACATCATAAGCGTCGGGGTACTGAAAGTGTTTTACCTAACTTTCATCTGGTTGAGATTTAGCGGGTTCGTGGCGTCGACCGTGCTTGCATTTAGAAATCAGAATTGCTAGGACAGTTGTCGCGCCCAGCATCATTGTTGGAGAGTCAGGAAGTTTTATTATACCGGTGGATTGGCCAGTGGCGACTTTGTTTACCGGTATCCCTACTGTACATGTGTCTGTCGTGCAGGTGAAAACGGGTCAATCAGTTGCTGTAGATGCGGAAACACTGGAGGGCAGTGGGTCACATCGTATAATAAAGTGTAAGGGCATTGTAAAGGGATTCCATCAGCGTTTATTTTTAGGGTCTCCAAGTCAATGTTGGCAACAAGTTCTTCATGTTTGCTTATAAAATCATTGGTTGTCAATGTGTAATGCAGTTTGAATAGAATTGGACACGAGTAGCGTTAAATTTTTTTAGTAAGTATTATGTAACTGCACTCTGTACCAATCATATGTCAAGCCTTAAGTAAGATATTCCGTAAGTCATCGGCGGAATATTATCGTGGACATTAAAAACCACTGAGTTGTTAGAGCGACAAATCCTGCCGACTAGTTCCGCTGCGACCGAGTTGATAAGCGCAAATGCATGTAGCCTATACTCGACTTTAGATGTCGTCATTTTCACTAGGGCGGTTATAGGTTCTGATGCACTGAGAACTGACAGAACCGTCGATCGTCGAAGTTTTGATTGTAATCTAGATAACATAGTTTTGGATGTTGTTAGTGTGCTGAGCCGGTGGGGCTGCTGCGCGTAGTTTTGCCTTAGTTTATTTATTGGGCTATAATGTTTTAGATGTTGTCAGAGCTTTACGGCAGTATCCTTAGCCATGGTACGTCCGACAGGCATAATTGGAGAAAACAAATATGCTATGCTCAATATATATGAACTAAACATTGTAGGTCAAAATCCGCGAGAGTAGGGGAAACACGGCAAAAATGTAAGATTAGGAGAGCCTACTAGTTACTCGCACTGTGATGAGGAGGAGATAATGAATACCAGCCGCTTGTAGGGTAATTGAGTAGCGAGAAAAAACTAAAAACGAGCGACGAACTGGTCCGATTGGTATTATGTAAGTAGGCGTAGTCGTAGTAGTAGTAGTAGTCGTAGTAGTAGTAGTAGTAGTAGTAGTAGTAGTTGTTGTTGTTGTTGTTGTTGTTGTTGTCGTAATTCGCGTTACTGGGTGCTGATTGGCTGGCCAACCGCGTCAGCTCTTGTCGATTGGATGATTATGAGGCGCTGGACCATACGGCAGCGCGGTTAGAAGATCAGATGTATGCTAGTGTACAGGCACGATCGGTCAGCATGAGCGAAAGTTGGATTTGCAGTGGCTTGATAAATGCGATTCCAGCGTCTGCAAAATGTGTTGCAGTTACGGTACACAATGTCCGATTCTTATCAGCTGGAGCTGGATGGCGGAACCTTAATGCATTCTCCCAAAGGAACGTAAAATTTTGGGTTTAAATACAACGAAACTGATGGTTTTGCGTGCGTGTTTTGGTACAGCTTCTGCCGGGAATGCAGTAGCGAGTAATGTAGTAAGTTAAAGAATCGGGAATAACGCAAAGCTCTACTCAAAGCTAGCCTCGAAATAGAAGGAAGACAACCGAATGCTAACTTCGAATTGTGCATTCAATGTTATTCAGTATCGTAGGTAACACGACATAAGGAATGTCAACTAGGACAGCAGTTACAATCACTCATCATCATCCCACACGTTAGCTAGAGGTGGGGAACACCTCAGCTACTGTGCCGCAATACATAAAAAAGAAAAAAATGCAACGGGTGCAAGCCGGCTGAGTTAGCGGCAACGGAGGTCATCGTTCCGGCAAGCTACCAGCCGGCTAATGTGCATCAAAAATTACTATGCAAAATTGCATAAGGTTAAATAATGAGACGGTGGTTGGAGGGGGAGGCTACGAAGGATAGGGTGGGACAAAGAAATACACAGCAGGAACGCCACTGAGATCGGCTCCTAGCCACATAAGTAAGTGTGTCCAACCAAACGTGTTCATCGTCTTTCGGACCCCAACCAGGGAGCCGAGACGCTCCAACCGAGGCTAGCTCAGAAGTGAGGGCCTTCATTCCTCTGGACCAAGTCATCGCTCGGCCACCCCTCCTCTTCTTCCATCCACACCCCCGGCGCGCAAACAACACACGTCGCGGGAGTCGATGGGCTGGCATGCGTAACACGTGGCCGAGCCATCGCAGCCTGGTGCGTGAAATAACGGTGCTGAGCGGTTCAGTTACTTTCCCTGTGCCATAAACAAGGAGTCGAACATGCTCGTTGCTCACGCGGTGTTCCCATCGGATGTGAGCTAAATTACGAAGGCACCGATGGTCGAACGTAACTAGCCTCTTCAGGCCCGCTGCTTTAAGCGGCCAGGTTTCACAACCGTACAGTAGGGTCGAAATTATTGCTGCATTGTACACTCTACCCTTCAGGGCAAGAGTGATGTCGCGCCGGCGCCATAAGTGACGAAGGTTAGCAAAAGCGCCCCGAGCTTTGGCTATACGGTTCGTGATCTCATCTTCAATCCCACGGGCGCTGATACAACTTCCCAGGTAGTTGAATTTTTGAACGAATACTAGCTGATCCCCACCAAGGGTCAGCGTAGGAGGCGGTCCAGACCAATCTTGGAGAAACGCTTTGCACTTCGAGGGTGTGAAGCAAAGCCCGAAGTGAAGGACAGCTAGTGCTAATCTGTCCAGTGCCGCTTGGCACGTTTGTGAGCTGTCACAGATCAGGGCAATATCACCAGCATACTCTAAGTCAAGAAGTCGTTCTCCTGGGAGCAGCTCCACATCTTCTAAGTCGTGTCCTGTAAACGCGATTTCCATGACTTCGTCAATAGCGAAGTTGAAGAGGAAAGGTGATAGCTGGCATCCTTGTATCACGCCGCTGGAGATATTAAAGGGCGACGACAACTTGCCGTAAGCCCTCACTCTGCCCGAGCTACGCGCATATAATGCTCGGATAATATTCATATATTTCTCGGGCACACCTCTCCTGAGTAGACAATTCCGAAGTGCATGTCTATTCACCAAATCGCATGCACCTTTGATATCGAGGGACACAACAACGGTGGGCCGCCAATATATGTGACGGTGCTCCAACAACTGACGCAAGGTGAA